AATAACACTCTGGCTTTACTGTAATAACACTGGCATTACTGTAATAACACTGGCTTTACTGTAATAACACTCTGGCTTTACTGTAATAACACTGGCATTACTGTAATAACACTGGCTTTACTGTAGTAATACTATGGCTTTACTGTAATAACACTCTGGCTTTACTGTAATAACACTGGCATTACTGTAATAACACTGGCTTTACTGTAGTAATACTATGGCTTTACTGTAATAACACTCTGGCTTTACTGTAATAACACTGGCTTTACTGTAGTAATACTATGGCTTTACTGTAATAACACTCTGGCTTAACTGTAATAACACTCTGGCTTTACTGTAATAACACTCTGGCTTTACTGTAGTAAAATTATGGCTTAACTGTAATAACACCCTGGCTTTACTGTAGTAATACTCTGGCATTACTGTAATAACACTCTGGCTTCACTGTAATATCACTCTGGCTTTACTGTAATTATACTCTGGCATTACTGTAATAACACTCTGGCTTTACTGTAGTAATACTCTAGCATTATTGTAATAACACTCTGGCTTCACTGTAATAACACTGGCTTTACTATAATAATACTCTGGCATTACTGTAATAACACCCTGGCTTTACTGTAATAACACTCTGGCTTTACTGTAGTAATACTATGGCTTTACTGTAATAACACTCTGGCATTACTGTAGTAATACTATGGCTTTACTGTAATAACACTCTGGCTTCACTGTAATAACACTGGCTTTACTATAATAATACTCTGGCATTACTGTAATAACACCCTGGCTTTAGTGTAATAACACTCTGGCTTTACTGTAGTAATACTATGGCTTTACTGTAATAACACTGGCTTTACTGTAGTAATACTATGGCTTTACTGTAATAACACTCTGGCTTCACTGTAGTAATATTATGGCTTTACTGTAATAACACTCGGGCTTCACTGTAATAACACCCTGGCTTTACTGTAGTAATATTCTGGCATTACTGTAATAACACTCGGGCTTCACTGTAATAACACTGGCTTTACTATAATAATACTCTGGCATTACTGTAATAACACTCTGGCTTCACTGTAATAACACTCTGGCTTTACTGTAATAACACTGGCTTTACTATAATTATACTCTGCCATTACTGTAATAACACTTTGGTTTTACTGCAATAACACTGGCTTTACTGTAATAACACTCCGGCTTTACTGTAATAACACTCTGGCTTTACTGTAATAATACTCTAGCATTACTGTAATAACACTCTGGCTTTACTGTAATAATACTCTAGCATTACTGTAATAACACTCTGGCTTTACTGTAATAACACTCTGGCATTATTTTTAGATGTGTACTTTTGATCTTAACACAATTTCACCCCAAATGTAGCTGATCTGCTAAGAAATGTTTGGTTCCTGTGGTTTGCGATGCTGTGTGTCACAATGTTGTCTTCAAAAATGAACAAAAGTACAGACACAAGGCTGGAAATACTTGGAGCTGAAATGCTAAAGCTTGAATTCAGTCCATGTTTGTAGGTAACAGTGAGTCAAACAGTGTCAGACACTGCATAATCAAGTCTAAAGCTTACTGAAGAGCTCTACTCGGTTTGGGACGAGTGTGTGATGATTAGGCCTGCAGTTAGCACCATGCTAATTGGTGGGGTGCAAGATTTCTTCCTTTTAGCTGCATTAGCCTCGTAGCTCCAGCGTAAAGCTAAAGAAGCAAACTTCAGACCCCGAACATGCCTTGGCTGATCGGCTACATTTGTAGAAATTAAATTTGACTTCAGACTATCACTTCAGTCTTTCTGGCAGGCTGTGATGACTCGGACTCATAAAAGCAGAAGTGAGGCGGTTGTGATGGAGTAACAGCTACTAACTCAACCTGAATAAGCTGTAATGAATAAGGACTTTTTGCATTAAGATACAAAAAACTAAGGTTGTGTGTAAAACGGCAGCAACTACTCATCTACTGCTGTTCAGGTTGCACAGCAAAGGTGACAAAGATGGAAAATAATGTCACAACATCAAAATATTCTACAAACATCACAAACATACTGATTTTAATGAATAACTACATTTTAAAAACAAAAATTGGAAGAGTTTTATTTCCACTTAGTTTATTTTATTTTGTTTTATTTATTTATTATTTTTTTAAATGATACCAGGGGGTTGATATGCAAGTAATTCTGAATGACCCTGTTTACATCTTAACCAATTAATCATGCAGAATTTTTAAAGCAATTGGTGAAGTTCCCCTTTAAATACATTCAATAGTCCCTGAAGAGGGGTACTTCTTCCATATTTAACGCTATTTTATTATCATCAACATTACATTATTCCATATAAAAGCTCAGAGGACTCGTGTAGGTTCTCTGGTGGTTTTGGATAGTAAATAAAATGTCTATATCTGTGTTGTAGTCATGGCGACCCCTGGTTCCTATCACCACCTCTGTAAAGACATCTGAACCATTTCACATTAAACCACCCTGAATCCGTCTGTCTACATCTCAACCACTGAATTATATTGACATTCTGAAAAATGGGTGGAATTGCCCTTTAAGGTATTCAAGGAAATATATACAAAGCTAAAGACTGTTAAGTGATCTTGTAATGAAAAGCTATCACTCTTT